CTTGTGATCTTCCTATCTCAGCCTCCAGAGCCTCTGGGATAACAGGCATGCACTTTCTTCCTCGGCCCTCTCAGGGAACCACCCCTGCCAAAACCTTGATATTGGACTTCTAGCCTCCAGGTGAGAAGTTGGCTGTGTAAGCCATCCGGTTTGTGATACTTTGTTACAGCAACCTTAGCAAACTATTGTAACTATTAAGAAAACTTCCTAGGACTGGGGATATAGCTCAGTTGGTAGAGTGTTTTCTCACATGCATGAGGCTCTGGGTTGGATCCCTAGCACCACAGGCCTGTGCCACTGTACCTGGATAAGATGATAGTTTTTAAAACTCAAAGAACTTGGGCTGGGGTTGTAGCTCAGTGGTAGAGCGCTTGCCTTGCATTTGTGAGGCCCTGGGTTCATTCCCCAGCACAACATAAAAATAAACAAATAAAAATTATATATATATATATATATATATCAAAGGACTTCCCAATGAATTGCATAACTGGTTTGTAATATAATATGTGTGTATGTGTGAGTGTGTGTGTATGCATGTGTGTGTTGCTGAGGAACAAACTCAGGGCCGTGTGCATGCCAGGCAAGGGTTCTACAAAGGAGCTACATCCCAGCCCATATCTTTTTTTTTTCCTCACTTTTTTTTAAGTTCTAGGGATTGAACTCAGGGGCATTTGGCCACTGAGCCACGTCCGCAGCCTTATTTTATATTTTATTTAACGACAGGGTTTCACTGAGTTGCTTAGCTCCTTGCTTTTGCTGAGGCTGGCTTTGAACTCAGGATCCTCCTGCCTCAGCCTCAGGAGCTGCTGGGATTACAGGTATGCTCCACCGTGCACAGTCATATCTTTTTGTAAAGAGAGAACGTGGAGAGAAAAGAAGCTATAGCCATTTGACAGATAAGAAAAAAAAAAACTTATCTTTTTTAAAAATATTTTTTAGTTGTTGATGGACTTTTATTTTCACTTATTTGTATGTGGTGCTGAGAATCAAACCCAGTGCCTCAAGCATGCTAGGCAACCCCAACCCAAGAAAAAAAGGCTTATCAAACATAAAATGTTACTTGGAGAGTACTTCATCTGACACCAATTTTTAAGCCCTTGAAACCTTATTTTCTGTTCATTTTCTACATGTCCAATGACAAGAGAAACCTGACTATAGAAACTTCTCTTACAGGGCTACTTAAAAGAAAAGTTTTGGCCACCTTCCTAGGACACCAAGGAAAAGTCTAAGGAAGGAAGTGTTGCTAACTCTAAATTACAACAATCCACTAAGATGTGATTTTGTAACTATTTTGTTCACTGCTAAATGGCTAAAAATTTCAAATTCCTACATCATATATGCATTATATTCATTTTTGTTACTTAATCCTAACAAACCCATGCAGCAGTTTACATTGTTTTAGTTTTAAGTATATTACATACAGCATATGTGTTATTCATATTAGTGTGTGTACAAGTGGAAAGGGAATTATATATGTGTTTACATGTAAAACATATATGCATATATATGTAATACTCTGCATGTGTGCATGTGCATGTGTGTGTGAGTATTTACAGTGGAAGAATGGGACGGAGTTAGCCGACCACAATGGCCACTGGCTGTGAAAGAGGGCCCTCCATATCTGTGGGTTCTACATCCATGGATTCAGCCAACCCAGGATGGAAAATATTGGGAAAACATTGCTGAATCTGTACAGAACACAGATAGATTTTTTGTTCAGGGCATTATTCCGTCAATGATTCAACGTAATCACCACTTTTATAGAATTCACATTGTATTTAATATCATAAAACATTTAGAAAATGACCTAAAGTATGTAAAAGGAATGTACATAGGTTCTATGAAATACTTTTCTATTAAGGACTTGAACAACCATAAATTTTGATATCCTGGGAGAAAGGAGTCTTGTAACCGATCCTCTTGGATATTGAAAAGCAACTCTGTACATATCCCATTTGGCACAGACCTTACAAGAACTTCTCAGCATGGTTGAAAAAGCCTGTAATTGGGGCTGGGGATGTGGCTTAAGCGGTAGTGCACTCACCTAGCATGCGTGTGGCCCAGGTTCGATCCTCAGGACCACTACAAACTAAGATGTTGTGTCCGCCAAATACTAAAAAATAAATATTTAAAAAAAAAAAGAAAAAAAGAAAAAGCCTGTAATCCCAGTGGCTCACAAGGCTGAGGCAGGAGGATTGAAAGTTCAAAGCCAGTCTCCAGCAACTAAGAGAGGCCCTGTCTCAAAATTAAAAAAATGGGGCTGGGAATGTGGCTCAGTGTTAAGCACCCTGGGTTCAATCCCTGGGGGGGCAGGGGGAAATCTTGCAAGAACTGATACTAACACAAAGTATTTAACAATGGCAAATATCTGGAGTAAATATGAACACAAAGATAACACTAAAATAATGAAAGTCACCTTAGCATTTGTGTGACTGCACTGACGTAACGTGTCCACCTCCAGGAAATAAGGAATCTAATAAATAGACAATCTAGAAATGTGCCACATTATTCCAAGATTCCAAGTCTTAAAGTAGAAACATATAACTTATGTCACTCTTTGCAATTAGAGTTACTCTTCAGATTTCCCAATCTATCTATCCTTTGCTTAAAACCAGTTAGTGGGGGTTGGGGGCTGGGGCTGTGGCTCAGTGGTAGAGCTTTTGCCTTCCATGTGTGAGGCACTAGGCTGGATCCTCAGCACCACATACATAAATATATTTAAAAAAAGGTATCGTGTTATGTGGAACAACAAAAAATAAATAAAAAATAAAATCTAACTTCTTTTTTTAGTTTTTGATGGACCTGTATTTTATTTATTTGTATATGGTGCTGAGAATCGAACTCAGTGCGTCATACATGCTAGGCAATTGCTCTAC